GGGGACTGGAATGCAAAAGTAGGAAGTCAAGAAATACCTGGAGTAATAGGAAAATTTGGCCTTTGAGTACAGAATGAAGCAGGGCAAAGGCTAATGGAGTTTTGCCAAGAGAACCCACTGGTCATAGCAAATACCCTCTTCCAACAACACCAGAGAAGACTCTACACATGGACATCACCAGATGGTCAATACCAAAATCAGATTGATTATATTCTTTGCAGGCAAAGATGGAGAAGCTCTATAGAGTCAGCAAAAACAAGACCAGGAGCTGACAGGGCTCAGATCATGAATTCCTTATTGCCAAATTCAGACTTAAATTGAAGAAAGTAGGGAAAACCATTAGACCATTCAGTTATGACCTAAATCAAATCCCTTACAATTATACAGTGGGAGTGAGAAATAGATTCAGGGGATTAGCTCTGATAGACAGAGTGTCTGAAGAACTATGGATGGAGGTTCATGACATTGTACAGGAGGCAGTGATCAAGACCATCCCCAAGAGAAAGAAATGCAAAAAGGCAAAATGGTTGTCTGAGGAGGCCTTATAAATAGCTATGAAAAGAAATGAAAGGCAAAGGAGAAAAGGAAAGATATTCCCATTTGACTGCAGAGTTCCAAAGAATAGCAAGGAGAGATAAGAAAGCCTTCCTCAGTGATCAGTGAAAAGAAATAGAGGAAAGCAATAGAATGGGAAAGACTAGAGATCTCTTCAAGGAAATTAGAGATACCAATGGAACATTTCATGCAAATATGGGCACAATAAAGGACAGAAATGGTATGGACCTAACAGAAGCAGAAGATATTAAGAAGAGGTAGCAAGAATACACAGAAGAACTATACAACAAGGATCTTCACAAACCAAATAATCATGATGGTGTGATCACTCACCTACAGCCAGACATCCTGGAATGAGAAGTCAAGTGGGTCTTAGGATGCATCACTTTGAACAAAGCTAGTGGAGGTGATGGATGGATGGTTCCAGTTGAGCTATTTCAAATCCTGAAAGATGATGCTGTGAAAGTGCTGCACTGAATATGTCAGCTAATTTGGAAAACTCAGCAGTGGCCACAGGACTGGAAAAGGTCAGTTTTCACTCCAATCCTAAAGAAAGGCAATGCCAAAGAATGCTCAAACTACTGCACAATTGCACCCATCTCACATGCTAGCAAAGCAATTCTCAAAATTCTCCAAGCCAGGCTTCAACAGTTTGTGAACCATGAATTTCCGATGTTGAAGCTGGATTTAGAAAAGGCAGAGGAACCAGAGATCAAATTTCCAACATCCACTGGCTCACTGAAAAACCAAGAGAGTTCCAGAAAAACATCTATTTCTGCTTTGTTGACTATACCAAAGACTTGAACTGTGTGGATAATAACAAACTGTGGAAAATTCTTCAAGAGATGAGAATACCAGACCACCTGACCTGACTCCTGAGAAATCTGTATGCAGATCAAGAAGCAGCAGTTAGAACTGGACATGGAACAACAGACTGGTTCCAAATAGGGAAAGGAGTACGACAAGGTTGTATATTTAACTTGCTTATTTAACTTATATGCAGAGTATATCATGAGAAATGCTGGACTGGATGAAGCACAAGCTATAATCAAGATTGCAGGGAGAAATATCAATAACCTCAGATATGCAGATGACACCACACTTAGGGCAGAAAGTGAAAAAGAACTAAAGAGCCTCTTGATGAAAGTGGAAGAGGAGGGTGAAAAAGTTGGCCTAAAGCTCAACATTCAGAAAACTAAGATCATGGCATCTGGTCCCATCACTTCATGGCAAATAGATGGAGAAACAGTGGAAACAGTGGCTGACTTTATTTTTGGGGACTCCAAAATCACTGCGGATGGTGATTGCAGCCATGAAGTTAAAAGACGCTTGCTCCTTGGAAGGAAAGTTATGACCAACCTAGACAGTATGTTAAAAAGCAGAGACGTTACTTTGCCAACAAAGTCCATCTAGTCAAAGCTATGGTTTTTCCTGTAGTCATGTATGGATGTGAGAATTGGACTGTAAAGAAAGCTGAGCACTGAAGAATTGATGATTTTGAACTGTGGTGTTGGAGAAGACTCTTGAGAGTCCCTTGGACAGCAAGGAGATCCAACCAGTCCATCCTCAAGGAAATCAGTCCTCAATATTCATTGGAAGAACTGACGCTGAAGCTGAAACTCCAATATTTTGGCCACTGGATATGAAGACCTGACTTATTTGTAAAAACTCTGATGCTGAGAAAGATTGAAGGTGAGAGAAGGGAATGGTAGAGGATGAGATGGTTGGTTGGCATCACCGACTGGATGGACATGAGTCTGAGTAAACTCCAGGGGTTGGTGATGGACAGGGAAGCCTGGTGTCCTGCAGTCCATGGGGTTGCAAAGAGCCACTGAACTGAACTGAATTTCTTCTAGAACAAAATTTTTCACACAGTCTGCATTCACTATAACAGATTTCTCCTGTCAAAGCAGAATGAAAGTCCGTGGTATCATTGAAGAAACGTGGTTAAAATTCCCTAATTGCATCCCACTCCTTTCTCATGGAAGCAGTTCTTGATTCACTCCCACCATACGTTGCTAGTGTTCCATAAATGCAAGGGAAAATCTGTTGGGCTCTGAAGGAGAGCCCCACCAAAATTCAATCTCAGGTCCTAGTTGATGTTTTCATAGGAAAAATTCCTTAATATTCAGTTTTATAAAACAAAATCAAATCATTTTATTGTGCCAAATGTTAGTAAAGTGAAGATATTGTTGGAAATTTCTCAACTACCTTGCTGCTGCTGCTGCTAAGTCGATTCAGTCATGTTCAGCTCTGTGCCACCCCATAGACAGCAGCCCACCAGGCTTCTCCGTCCATGGGATTTTCCAGGCAAGAGTACTGGAGTAAGGTGCCATTGCCTTCTCCCCCAACTACCCTACCTGGACATGAAACTGACCATGGGAGTAAGTGGTCTCCCCTACAATCCATCCTCCACAAAGAATTGGAGTAATTTTGTAAATGTAGAGAAAAACACTCTCATCCCTAACGCCATTCAGTGATTCCCACTGCTATTCTATTCAAATGAAACCCAAACTTTCCTACACGTAGAGCTCCAACCTAATCACATCTCCACCATATTCTCTCAGGCCCTGCCAGTTCCCATTTGAAGCCGAGCTTTTTCCTGACAGAACTATTGTCTTTTCCTCTTCTGAAACTCTTTGCCCTCAACATTTCAAATAACTGGCTCCTCCTCGTCCAACCTATCATGTGTCATCTCACTGCCCACTCCTGATGGAGGACTTCCCTGACCACCATTTCTAACCCTTAGCTGCTTTTTATTACCTTACTGTTTTATTGTCTATAGTATGTGTGATCTGAAATTATGATTTTTGCTTTGTACACTTGTTTTTGTTTCGTATATTTATTTATTGAATACTGGAGCCAAAAAGGTAGTCACTTCATCTGAATTGTTGCACAGCACATGAGAAGTGTGAAATAAATATCTGTGAAATGAATGAACTCATTAAACTGATGTCCTGTTTTCCACAAAATTAGTAAACAGTAAGAAAAGGTACTCTGAGAAAAGATGCCAGTTTCTGTAGTTGATATGGGCAAATTATCACCTTTAAGAGGCTCACAGTTGGCTGAAGAAAGCAATGGGCAATTGTGATACAGCCTGATAAATGCCATGCCTGCCTGCTGAAGTCCCTTCGGTCTTGTCTGACTCTGTGACCCTATGGACTCAGAACCCGCCAGGCTCCTCTGTCCACGGGATTTTCCAGGCAAGAATATCCAGTGGATTTCCGTGCCCTCCTCCAGGGGATCTTCCCAACCCAACGATCAAACCCATGTCTCCTGCAGTTCTTGCATTGAAAATGGATTTTTTTTTTAAACCGTTGAGCCACCGAGTAAGCCCAACAAACGCTAACAAGGAGGTAAATATAGGGTCCTCTAGGATCACAAGAAAGGAGCCTAATCTTGTCTTGGGTAATTTCATAAGGAATCGTCAGACCCAGAGGGATGGGATGGAGAGAGTGGCGGGAGGGGGGATCGGGAAGGGAACACATGTAAATCCATGGCTGATTCATGTCAATGTATAGCAAAAACCACTACAATATTGTAAAGGAATTAGCCTCCAACTAATAAAAATAAATGGGGAAATAAAGCAAAAAAAAAAAAAAGAATCGTCAGTTCAGTTCAGTCGCTCAGTCGCGTCCGACTCTTTGCGACCCCATGAATCGCAGCACGCCACATAAGGAATAGTAGGCAAAGGTAAATCTGAACGATGAGTGAAGGAAAAATGGAGGGGGGAAGGATGAAATGAACATGGTAAATATCTAGACAGAAGGAACAGAAAGTGGCAAAACTCAGCAAGAGATGAGAAATTTTAAGTAGTTCCTGTTGCAGAGCATTCTTCCAGAGTAACTGAAGGATTCGATGACATAATAATGTATGCGAACATATCATGACCGCTGAAGTGCCATATGAAAGTGAAAGTCGCATAGTTGTGTCCAACTCTTTGTGACCCCATGGACTATACAGTCCATTGAATTCTCCAGGCCAGAATACTGGAGTGGGTAGCCTCTCCCTTCTCCAGGGTACCTTCCCAACCCAGGGATCGAACCCAGGTCTCCCGAATTGCAGGCGGATTCTTTATCAGTGGAGCCACATGGGAAGTGCCATATACGTTATTATAAACAAGCGCAGACCAGTACTATCTGTCATATGTTACCTGATAATTTCTAATATTCAAAGAAAAAGAAAAGATGGTTTCGGAGGACTTCTAGTGAAGTCTTCTCTTAGACTTAAACGCTAGACCCTCTGATTTTTTCCCCCTACCCCAACAAAACTGATGGACCTAGCAGTCTCACCAGGTGCGGAGATAGAGGGGGCAAGGAGCCCTTAACAACGGTTTTCATTGGCCTTTCAAACTGAATCGTTTGGACGATTGGCTGCGGAGGTTTCCAGAGGCCACCCCACATCGCTGATTGGGTGAGGAGCAGCCAAGTGCCCGCCTCCTCTCCAGGGCCGGTTAGTCTTGTTGCTTGGCAACCGATTTGCATCTTCTGGCCCAACCGGCACCCAGTTAGTTACACCTGTGAAGCGGGGACGGTGACTGGTTAAGAACACCCTAAACTTACGCCTCTTACGCCCACTTCACGCACAAACAGCACGAGTGGTCTCAGGGTTTCGTCCACGTTTACCTTCAGGCTGGGCTGTGGGCTGGCGCCGCAAGGACACACCGCAGTGAAGAAAATGCTCACGCCTTCCTTCTGAAGTCCTCCTTTAGAAGAGTCAGAGGAGGAAAGAAAGTCGCTGCTACGTGCCCAACTTAGGGCCATTTCTCTTGGGAGTATACAGCATTCTGAAGCTCGAGAAAGCAAATATTTATGTCAGTTAACTAGGTATAGGAGAGTGACCCATAACCTCAGACACTTGTCTCAGAGCGAACCCTCGTAGTGAGGGGACAGGGTCAGAGGCTTTTTTGCCTTATCATGTACAGCAGAGCTTACATCTTGCTAAAAAGAGAATTCGAAGAGTTGAAGAACAACAATTATGAGGTGAGTATTGGAGACGTGGAGGGTGTGTTTCATTGGGGTACGACTTTTTAAAAGCAGTTTAATCTCTTTATTCTACAAGGCATAATTTAGTTAAATCTAATTTGCACTACAGACTTGTTTAATGAACCTATTTCAGTATAATAATCTGTTTCATAATAATTATTAGTATTTCATAATAATAGTTAACAATATTGAGCACACTGTGCTGAGTAATTTATGGACTTTAATCCCTGAATATAACAGTCTATCGGGTAGTAAATAACTAGTAGGTGCAGGGTTGCATTCACTAATTATCAGTTGTGCCTGCATGTTCAGTGGCTGAGTTGTGTCTGACTCTTCGCAACCCCATGCACTGCTGCCCACCAGGCTCCTCTGTCCATGAGATTTTTCCAGGCAAGAATACTGGAGTGGGTTGCCATTTCCTTCTCCAGGGGGGTTTCCCCACCCAGGGATGAAACCCAAGGTCTCCTGCATTGGCAAGTGGATTCTTTAGCTCTGTACCACCTGGGAAGCCCCTCAATTATCAATGCAATATTGTAAAATAAGTAGGTAGTGTTTTGTTTTACCTACCAGAAACCTAAGTCTCAGAAAGTTTCAGTAAATATGTGGGCTCGGGATTCCATCACAGGGTTTTTGACTCCAAAATCCCTTGCTCTTAAGTCTTGAGTTCTGTTTCTTCCTGTCTAGTACACTTTTTGCCAATTGCTGTGACATATAACACATAAGTGTCTTTCCCTTATAATTTTATTTTTAAAATTTTATTTATTATTATTTTTGGTTTGGGCTGGGTCTTCATTGTTTTGCACAGTAATACATTCTTTTCCCTCCATTGGAATAATGCCTCAAGTATAGGAAAATTTTATTTTTATATATGAACATAATTTTAGAGTTGAGTTTTTCTTAATGAAAATTTCTTACTTCATGCCTAATATAGCATCTATAGGGTTTTTTTTAAAGCCATGAAGAAATACATGCTTTCCAACTATTCCTTTCTTTTTGAATTTGAATCTTAAATTGTCTATAGAATTATATAAGTCACATATTCCATTCTTGACCTTCCAGTCCCATTTGTGATTTTCATACTAATGATTTATTTAAAATTTACTATTGCGTGTATTTTCTGGAATCTACCTTAACTTCTGGGTAATAAGACAATATATAATACCTTCTCAAATCAAAAATATTTATCAATAAAAGAATTTTTAGAGTTTTTGGAATTCATTGTGGCCTAATATCTGATTTCCCAAGCTGCAATAAATATTTAATCTCTTTTTCTGCTTTAATTTTTCTTGCTGCTTAGGGTATTACTGCCTTGCCTATAAGTGAAGATATGATGCAATGGGATGTTGACATTGAAGGTCTACAGAATACAATTTGGCATGGTTTGTGCTTTGAAAACCACTTTTTCTTTTAAGCCTTTATATTACTAGCCTAATTTCTTTAAGGTTGCACTGTATAAATTTTCTAGAATTCCTGAAGTTTTCACATGTTAATGTTTTTCATTGTATGGCTTAATTTTTTTGCCATTTGTCAACATGGATGGAAATTTCAGGTTTGAATTTTTCTTTATGCCCAGTCTTACTGTTATCATGTTTTTAAGAAGCAGACATAGGAAAACATATCAACTGAGAATATCATCTAATAGTCTTCCATGAATTCAGAAAATAACTTAAAAAAAATGCCTATTGACAGAAAAAGCCCACAATTATGTCTCATTTTTTTCTCTATGATTTTCCCACAAATGTCTGTAAGTCAAGTTCTCAAGAAGACTAGGCAATCATAAGCTTTAATGACCATGCCCTCTTACAGTTGCAGATTTACAACATACATTTGCTTAGTGAGATAGGGAAGAAAAGCATGTAAGTGGATAGTTACAATAAACTATAACATGTCCTGTTATGAATTTTGAATGGAAAATTGAGGAGGCAGTAGTTAGTTAATTTTGCCTTGGAGAGTCAGGAACAGCTTCCCAATGAAGTGGCACTTGAATTGGGTCTTGAAGAATGTCTGAGAATTTACCAGGTTTAGAATCAGAAGGTAGTGCAGGTGACTGAACAGCCTAGCAAAAGCTGAAGAGAGAGGATTCTGGAGCAGAGAGTAAATATGAGAAACCCAGTGAAGAGGCTGGTATTAGAGGGACAGAGTTAATGAATGAAAAGGACTGGTGAGAATGTGGCTGAAAACACTGGGTTAGATTGTGAGTAGTCTGTTATACCATCTAGAGGTGTCTGGGCATCCTCTAATCCAATTTACTTATTAATATAGTAAAACTCTAGGGACATTGGGGAGGCTAAACTGTAGGCATATACATCAATGTTAGGTTACAGTTAATCATTAATGTGACACTTTAGTAAAAATGTTTATTTCTGTATCACAGGAGCATTCTTCCAACTGAGAATAAATTTTACATCAGAGTATAATTTTGTCCCTCCAGTTGTGAAATTCAGAACAATTCCTTTTCATCCAAATGGTAAGGAATAAATATAATTATTATCATAAATTCTGTCCATATTATTCTTCATTAGTGTTTAATAATGTTTATTTTTAATGTTATAAAGTAAGCATACTTATTGGGGAAAATATTAAAAAGCAGGAAAAAATTATCATCTGAATCCTAATTCAGAGAGATACTGTTCTCAACATTTAATGAGATTTATTTCCTTTCTTCCATGTATGTATTTTATTTCCATAGTTGAGTTGTTACACAAAGATGCATATATTTTTATTTAAAATGATATAATACATTTATTTCTGCAGTGTTAAACATTCTTCAATATATAATTTTGAACATGGATGATATTTGTATGTCTTCTTTGGAAAGATGTCTTTTCAGGTCTTCTTGCCACTTTTGGTTGATTTGGGGTTTTTTTAATATTGAATTGTATGAACTGTTTACATATTTTAGATGTTAACCCTTTGTTGGTAACATCATTTGCAAATATTTTCTCAAATTCTATAGGTTGTCTTTTCATTTTGTCAATGGTTTCCTTTGCTATGCAAAGCTTTTAAGTTTAATTGGGTCCCATTTGTTTATTTTTGCTTGCCTTGGGAGACTGAGCCAAGAAAATATTGCTATAATTTATGTCAAAGAGTATTCCATGTATGCTTTCTTCTAGGTGTTTTATGGTTGCTGGTCTTACATTTAGGTCTCTAAACCGTTTTGAATTTAATTTGTATATGGTGTGAGGGAATATTCTAATCTCATTGTTTTGGCTCACTGATATGGCTGTCCAGTTTTCCCATCACCACTTGTTGAAGAAACTGTATTTTCTCCATTGTATATTCTTGCCTCTTTTGTTGTAGTTGAATTGACCACAAGCACATGGACTTATTTCTGGTTTCTCTGTTCTGTTCCATTGATTTATGTGTCTGTTTTTATGGCAATATGATGTTGTTTTGATAACTGCAGCTTTGTAGCATAGTCTAAACCCTCAGAGGGTTATACTCTAGCTTCATTCTTTTTTCTCAAGATTTCTCTGTGGCTCCATATGAATTTTAGGATTATTTGTTCTAGTTCTATGAAAAATATTCAGGATATTTTGATAGCAATCTGTTGATTGCTTTGAATAGTATGGCCATTTTAACAATATTAATTCTTCCAATCAAAGACTATTGGATATTGTTCCATTTCTTTGAATCATCTTCAGTTTCCTTCATCAGCGTTTTATAGTTTTCAGGGCATTGATCTTTCACCTCCTTGGCTAAATTTACTTCTAGGGTTTTATATGCTATTTTAAATGGGATTTTTTTTTTTTACTTTCTCTATATGATATTTCATCATTGTTGTTCAATCACTAAGTTGTATCTGACTCTTTGCAACCCCTTGGACTTCAGCACCCCAGGCTTCCCTGTCTTTCAGTATCTCCTGGAGTTTGCTCAAGCTCATATTCATTGAGTTGGTGATGCCATCCAACCATCTCAAACTCTGCCACCCACTTCTGCCCTCAGTCTTTCCCAGCATCAAGATCTTTTTCAGTGAGTTGGCTCTTTGCATCAGGTTACCAGAGTGTTGGAGTTTGGAGTTTCAGCTTCACCATTAGTCCTTCCATGACTATTCAGGGTTGATTTCCTTTAGGATTGACTGTTTCATCATTAGTGTATAGAAACAATAGATTTTTGTATATTAATTTTTTTTCCTTCAGCCTTGCTGAATTCATTTATTCTAATAACTTTGGGATGGACTTTATGATTTTATATAAAGAATATGTTTAATATTATTTTTCATATTTAATTAATAAAGATTTGTTTCCAGTAACAGTATTGGATATACAGAAAAGGGAAATGTCCATAAATAGCTACAATGTCCATAAATATAAGAATTTTTAAGTAAAATGTGTTATAGCTATATACATTGCTTTTACACATAACAAGAAAGATATATGAAGACTTTACTCTTTGGTCATTGTTATGTCCCTAGAATCTTCACTCCCTGGCATAGAGTTGGTGTTCAAATATTTTTTGAATAAATTTGTCCAAAAATATGTTGGCAATTTACTATTAAATGAAAAATACTTTGAAGAATAAAATGTAATTTAATTTTAAAAACAATAACTACACACACAAAAGTGTGTGTATTTTTTCCCAAATACTACTAATAATTTAGTTAATTGACTGTATTAGGGCATAGGCTAACCTTTTCAAATGACTTTCCAATGTACATAGAACAAAGCTGGCAGGAAGGTTTTACCATCATCAACTTATGGGATCCATTTCTGGACATAAGACATTTATTCTGTCATTATTTCCAGCCAGTGGGGAGGGGAGAGAAAAAGAGAAGAGGGCAGAACAGCTTCCTTAAGAAAATATGATCCAAAAGGTGCACACTTTAGTTCTGCTGATGTCCCACAATTAAGACTTAGTCACACGGCCACATCTTGTTAGAGGAAAGGCTGGGAAAATGTGGGCAACTATGTATTCATCTAAAATCACACAGGGGGATGGGGAGGAGGCAGGCATCATATTTCTTACTATGGAGAGAAGAAATGGAGAAAAGGAAGGACAGACACTGGAGGACCATGAGTAACGTTCTTGAAACTTTTCATATCATTTCTTGATCATCTTTTTTACCACTGAGTCATAATTTCAGTTTTCACTTACCACAGTTTTAATACCAACTAGAATTTTTTTCTAAATACTTTTTTTTTATCACATTGTTCACTCACATCTTTTGTCCGTTGCACTGTTAACTATTACTGTAGTTTTACACTTGATCTTAGCCAAAAGGCCGAGAAGCGATTATTGTAGTTTTAAAACACAATGTCCCAAATTGAAGACCCCTCTTTTCACCTTGTCAACATTTTCTTCCCAGATCTTTCCTAAAGATTGCAGGATCTTTCCATTGGATATAAATGTTTTTCTTATTTTTTAATAAAAATTGTTTATATGTTAATAAAAGTATTTTTAATAATGATAATTATCTGAGGATCCACTCTATGCCAGGTACTCTATTAAGGACTTTGTTTTTTAAACTCTTTTCAGTGAAAGTAGATACTTCAAGCATATTCCCCACTTCACATACTTGGAAAATGAGACTTAGAGAGGTAGTTCATTGCTCAGTGTCCATTGCTGATAAGTGGAGGAGTCAACCGTCAAATTTATGTGTATCTGACACCAAAGTCCATGCTCTAACAACTGGTTTATATTGACTGTCACATTCATTGCAAAGATTATCACTTGCTTTCTAACTTAGTCTATGATATGTTGATCTTCATAAGTTTTAAATGATAATTTTGTGTATAAATATTAATGTGTTATTTTAATACAGTAGACCCACATTCTGGCAAGCCCTGTATAGATTTTTTGGACAGCCCTCGTAAATGGAATAGAAGCTATACATTGAGCAGCATCTTACTTACCCTCCAGGTAAGAACAGATTAATAATAAAATGCTGTCTTTGTTGTTGTTGTTTAGTTGCTCAGCTGTATCAGACTCTTTTGCACCCCCATGGACTGTTGCCCGCCAGGCTCCTCTGTCCATGGGATTTCCCAGGGAAGAATACTGAAGTGGGTTGCCATTTCCTTCTCCAGGGGATATTCCCAACTCAGGGATCAAACCTGTGTCTCCTGCATTGGCAGGTGGATTCTTTACCACTGAGCCACCAGGGAAGCCCAATGATGTCTTTAATACATTTAATTACCCAATTATTCAAAGTATAAGGAATAAAATATACAATGTATATTTAAATATTTAAAGGATTTGAGTAAGCTTATATGACTCAATAATATTTCTTCATCAAAACTGTAAAATGGAACTTGAACTATAAAAATTATTATTTTTAAAGTGAAATTGATAGCTTAGGCCCTTTCCAACCAAACAATATGTATTTTATAAAAGAAGAAGAGAACTGTTTGAATGGTTTCAATTCTGGAAATATACTCTTAGGCTTGCTTTTGGCTCCTAACGTCACTTTGTAATGTTGAACAGGCCTTTTAGATCTTTCTTCATTCATGAACCTTGCCTTCCTCAGAGAGGTGAACAAGTGACTACAATATAAAATAGCCATCTATATCCTTTATTTATGACAGTACTAGAGACCTGCTTTGATAAGCTTTCATGTCAAACCCAGTGAACAATTAAACCAGAAATTTCCTCCTCTGCTCAATAGATCCCTGTTTATAGAATGCATCCTTTGCATCCTAAATCTATGGCATTTAGAAGCATGCTTCTGTGTTGTGAGTGTGTTATGCCATTCCTGACCCTCAGAGAGCCTCCTTTCTCATCCTGAGATGTTAAATGATTTGAGCATCACTTGCTTTGACCAGTTACATCTGGCCCGGTGAGAGTCTATCCACCAGATTTTATCCATGATAAAATTCTATCTACTCATCATTAATAATGTTTGGAGATAAGTATTAAATTTTGATCTGAAATACCTGGAGAATAAAGTATTCTGGCTTAATTGAATTTTCTCAGTAACATAAAATTATAATAAAAATTCCATCTCTCCTATGTCTTGTTTTCAAAAATAAAACTATCCTTGATTTTCTATCTAGTCATCTTAGTATGCTGAGTAAAATTTAAATTTTTTAAAAAATAAATTTAAATTTACAATAAATTTTTAAAAATTCAATGTTGAATTTAATCATTCATTCACTCTACAACTGTGTGTTGAGCATATGTACTGGTGCCAGGCCATGCTCTGGAAGAGAGATTGGAGCAAAACCTTTGAGGAAGTAAGCGAGTGTTATGTGCAGAGATTTGTGGTTGATCTTTCAGATTCTTTCAAACTGAGTCATCCTATCTCTTCCACCTAAGTAGAAACAGCCTTAAAAACAGTAAAAGTGAATGTTCTCAAAAATGTAATGAGTGAGGGCAAACCAGAATGAAATGGTGAACATTTTGAATTGCAGAATAATTTAATAAAGGTAAATTGGGGACTGTGAGTTTAGATTGCTTGGCTTCACTTCTTGGTTCTGCCACTTAATACTTTTAATACTTAACACTTAACACTTTTGGAACAAGTTTGTCCACTTACCATTCCCTTTATTTCTTCATCAGTAAAGTGGGGCTGTTAGTAGCTAACTCATATAACTTATAAGGACTAAATGTATAAATACATGTAAAGTACTTAGAACCATGAGTGGTCTAAGAAAAGAATTCAGTAAAATCTGGTTAATATTTTATTGTTCTTAATTTTAGCCAGTAATACAAAGTGACAACAAAGTGTTCCCAAATATATCATGAAAAGCCAGTAGATTCCACAGTTTCTTTTATTTTTCAAATAGTTTTATAAAAGAAATATGCCCACATTAGAAAACATTTTTAAGATAGTAGAAAGGAAAAGAAAATCACTGGTAATCATAAAGAAAATTCCTTCCCTGTTGTTATTAACATTTTCTTCTGATCTTTTCTCTTGTGTTTTGGTTTTAAATCTTCACTTCCACATTCCCTACAAGGTCAAGGCCAAATTCTGTTGCCTGACAAATGATCTACTTCTCACACCTTGGCCTTAACCCTCTGAAACACACCATGGCATCCCGCTCGTATTTATATCTTTATTATTTTTTTATTTTTTAACTCATAGTTCTTGGTTCAATTCAGGTTAAAAAGCATTTATAGAGTTCTAAACTCTAAAGTTACAAACAAAGTCAATCTTGGACCTTACGAAATCCTCAGTCCAGTTCTGTGTCTGACTAGCATCCCACTTTATTCCCTCTTTCTCAGTCCTTTTAGCAAGCAGCTGCTCACATTTTAAGAGTCAGGTCAAAAGACGATTCCTTTGAAATGCCTTTCCTGATTTCCTTTCCTAGGTGAAATTGATGGCTTTGGTTTGGGGAGGGGGGCTTTCTTTGTGAAGTGTTGCCCTAAGTAAATGTGTGTGAGAGAACTATAATGCTTTAATGCAAATACTGCTTCCTTATCTGTCTTCCCCTATTAGACTGTAAGACCCTGAAGGTCAGGAAACAAATCTAATTCCTGTGGTAGATACTAAGTAATATGACTGAAGCAACCAATCTGTTTTTATATAGTTGCAATGATACTATCAGTTCAGTTCAGTCCCTCAGCTATCAGTTCAGTTCAATCGTTCAGTCGTGTCCGACTCCTTGCGACCCCATGCCTCCCTGTCAATCACAAACTCCCAGAGTTTACTCAAACTCATGCCCATCGAGTCAGTGATGCCATCCAGCCATCTCATCCTCTGTCATCCCCTTTTCCTCCTGCCCCCAATCCCTCCCAGCGTCAGGGTCTTTTCCAACGAGTCAACTCTTCGCATGAGGTGGCCAAAGTATTGGAGTTTCAGCATCAGCCCTTCCAATGAACACCCAGGACTTATCTCCTTCAGGGTGGACTGATTGGATCTCCTTGCAGTCCAAGGGACTCTCAAGAGTCTTCTCCAACACCACAGTTCAAAAGCATCAATTTTTCAGCACTCAGCTTTCTTCACAGTCCAACTCTCACATCCACACATGACCACTGGAAAAACCGTGGCCTTGACCAGACGGACCTTTGTTGGCAAAGTAATGTCTCTGCTTTTGAATATGCTCTCTAGGTTGGTCATAATTTTCCTTTCAAGGAGTAAGCCTCTTTTAACTTCATGACTGCAGTCACCATCTGCAGTGATTTTGGAACCCAAAAAAATAATGTCTAACACTGTTTCCACTGTCTCCCCATCTATTTCCCATGAAGATGATCCAGCAGATGTTGGCAATTTGATCTCTGGTTCCTCTGCCTTTTCTAAAACCAGCTTGAACATCTGGAAGTTCTCGGTTCACGTATTGCTGAAGCCTGGCTTGGAGATTTGAGCATTACCTTACTAGCATGTGAGATGAGTGCAATTGTGTGATAGTTTGAGCATTCTTTGGCATTGCCTTTCTTAGGGATTGGAATGAAAACTGACCTTTTTCAGCCCTGTGGCCGCTGCTGAGTTTTCCAAATTTTCTGGCATATTGAATGCAGCACTTTCACAGCATCATCTTTCAGGATTTGAAATAGCTCAACTGGAACTCCATCACATCCACTAGCTTTGTTTGTAGTGATGCTTTCTAAGGCCCACTTGACTTCACATTCCAGAACTGAGTTTTTCATTTTCTTTAAGTACTAATAATTTAAATTTAGATGACTCTCTGATTACAACCTTTTGAATAACAAGTGATACACATTTATAATTATCACATTGTTATCCATGGGGTTGATACTTGAAATAGTGTTAAAAATATTTTCAAGTCTAATGTCTATGATCTTGACTTCTTTGAAAACTTGTCCTTTCATATATAAGCAAAAGTAAATATCAAACTCATCCACAGAAGGAATTCCAAATTCTTGGGCTTTACCTAATTGGATAGTATAAAATATACTCACTGGTTACAGTATATTTTATACTATCCAATTAGGTAAAGCCCATGACAAGGCAAAAAGATAGGACCCTGAAAGATGAACTCCCCAGGTCAGTAGGTGCCCAATATGCTACTAGAGATCAGTGGAGAAATAATTCCAGAAAGAATTAAGGGATGAAGCCAAAGTAAAAACAACACCCAGTTGTGAATGAGACTGGTGATAGAAGCAAGGTTTGATGCTGTAAAGAGCAATATTGCATAGGAACCTGGAATGTTAGGTCCATGAATCAAGGCAAATTGGAAGTGGTCACCAGGAGATGGCAAGAGTGAACATCAACATTCTAGGAATCAGCAAACTAAGATGGACTAGAATGGGTGAATTTAACTCAGATGACCATTTTATCTACTACTGTAGATAAAGGCAGGAATCCCTTAGAAGAAATGGAGTAGCCATCATAGTCAACAAAAGAGTTCGAAATGCAGTACATGGATGCAATCTCAAAAATGACAGAATGATCTCTGTTCGTTTCCAAGGCAAACCATTCAATATCACGATAATCCAAGTCTTTACCCCGACCAGTAATGCTGAAGAAGCTGAAGTTGAACGGTTCTATGAAGACCTACAAGACCTTCTAAAACTAACACCCAAAAAAGATGTACTTTTCATGATAGGGGACTGGAATGCAACAGTAGGAAGTCAAGAAACACCTGGAGTAACAGGCAAATTTGGCCTTTGAGTACAGAATGAAGCAGGGCAAAGGCTATTAGAGATTTGCCAAGAAAACCCACTGGTCATAGCAAATACCCTCTTCCAACAACACAAGAGAAGACTCTACACATGGACATCACCAGATGGCCAATACCAAAATCAGATTGATTATATCCTTTGCAGGCAAAGATGGAGAAGCTCTATACAGTCAGCAAAAACAAGACCAGGAGCTGACTGTGGCTCAGATCATGAACTCCTTATTGCCAAATTCAGACTGAAATTGAAGAAAGTGGGGGAAACCACTAGACCATTCAGTTATGACCTAAATCAAATCCCTTACGACTGTACAGTGGAAATGAGAAATAGATTTAAGGGATTAG